TTGTTTTTTTCTGTATTTTTCTTTCATATATATATATATATTAAAGGTAAAATAAATCCGTGGGTATATAATCCGAGTGGATCCTAGTAATATAAAAATATTAAAACTCATCCACAATAGAGAGCTCGTTGTATTTTATTCATACAGAGCAACATGAATGAATAATCAAAAATATTTTTACCTCATGTGGGGAATAAACTATTTGGGCAGATGATGAAAGTGGCCGTCTGTCTTTTCAAATGGAAAAGACAGATGACCACTTTCATCGTCTGCCGAAATAGACTATTCCCCACAAAAATAATTGTTTGTACGGAAAGTAAGGACCTACGTACATCAAATTGTCCTTAAACTAAGTGGCGGCAGAAGAATTATCGTTGAACTTTTAAAACGTAAGCTTAAATATTAATGCAATACTTAAATACAGCAACCAATTTTGAATTTTTCTGTGAATTATTGTCGCCTATCGCATCTACTCCTCCCTGCCTACGGTGATGAAGGCCAAATCAAGAGCCCTCCGCAGGATCTAGCTTAAATGCCGCTGGATAGGGCGGCTTTTAAGCTCGTTTGTTATATTTATGTTGAAAAGAATTTTTAATATCGAGACTAGAGCATTTATAGAGGGTATATTTTTGTAGGCGGAGATTGATTAGTGAACGTGCGGAGATGAGACGCCACCTCGCAACAGGCGGAAAGCTTATTTCGTTTCATCTTCTACGCCAAGCGACTGTTTAAAAAAAACAACAGACATGACTAGATTGAGATGTAGATTCCGATAAATAAAAAAAATGACTGATAGCGATGAAGCCAGTTAAAATCTGATGAATTCTGGGACGATCTTAATTAATTACATTTTGATATGTGCCGATTTTTTTACGGTAACTTTTGGCTGGATTATTTTCTTGCCAACTTACGTCTTTATTTCGTCAATTCTAGTGAAAATGTTTTTTTCATCACAAATGTCTCTCATAATAATATCTCAAGAGGAATTCCTATATACGTTCCATCGTCATCCGTATGGCTGGAAAAGTGTGTTACATGACTTGATGATAAATAAATAAATATATGCACGCTGGTTTACCGTTGGTGAGTATTTTGAAATAAGTATGAGGAAGAAACATGTATAATAAAAATATAATTTTTACTTTGAAAAAAATTACCCGTAAAAAAAAAGAAACTAAGTGCACAAAAAGGAGGCATCCACACTTTGTTATTTAAATAAATATGGACATTCTAAGCAGACGATTGCTGTGTGTGTGTGTGTGTGTGTGTGTGTGTGTGTGTGTGTGTGTGTGTGTGTGTGTGTGTGTGTGTGTTTAATGACCTTCACTTTTCAAAATTATATGGTAAATACTAGAATTGGTATAACTTATTACCTCGGAGTTGCTATTACTTAAATAGGCCTTAAGTGTGATACCAGTTTGCAATTACATTCTAAAAAGTAAACTTTTCCTGCAGGAATTGTTTGAATTAAAGAGATGTTTCAAATTAAAGCTAGTACCTTTAATTTAGTAGCTTTAATTTGAAACATCTCTTTAATTCAAACAATTCATAGTACTGGAACAATTATACGCCTACTTCTATATCATTCTGGTATATATTGTTAATTTATTTTTCGGTTCTGAAAGTCTGTTGTTTGATAATTTAACGTCTATCATTGAATTTCCAACTGAATTTCAATAAAAAAACATAATATGAAGCAGCGAATGTTTTTGAATTCTGAAAACGTTTCCATTTATTAATTTATTATTGCGTTTGATCTAAGTGATATTATATAATGTAATAATAATTGTTACAAATGTAAATACAAACTAAAATATATATAATTAATAATAAAATTGATAATATTGTTAATTCATTATTTGTATCATGAACTGCTTTTAAAAGGAACCCAAAGGGCTTATGGGTTGTCTAGTATATATATATATATATATATATATATATATATATATATATATATATATATATATATATATAAAAGAAGGGTATGGAAAGTTCTCGAACCGATCCAGTTCTCCTTAAAATAATCCAAAATAGGAATTTTGAAAATGTGTTATCCGAAATTTTTTAACAATTCTACACACACACACACACACACACACACACACACACACACACACACACATATATATATATATATATATATATATATATATATATATATATATATATATATATATATATAGTTGTAGACTTTGGCTGTCTGTTTTGTCACTTAAATTTGGACAAGGGAATGACTTCTATCCAAATTTTAAAAGGAAAATCCAGAAGATGGAGGTCACATCCACAAGATCATTTTGATCAAAGGTGTTCCCTAAGGAGAGTGCTCAAACACCTTACTGAATTTTTTCTCCTTTTGATTTAAATTTGAACAAAGAAATGACTCCTAGGGTACTTGGATAAGTATATTTCATTTTGATCAAAGGGGGCCCCCTGGAGCACAAAACCCCCACAGATTTTTTCCCTTTGATTTAAATTAAATTTAAATTTGTACAAAGGAATGACACCTATCAAAATCAGACAATATGGACGTCAAGTTGAGCAAGACATCACCAATCAGTGGGTAGTATCTTATAATGCATATTTGTTGTGACAATTCAACTGTCATATCAATGTTGAAATCTGCTTATCAATTCAATCAAGTATTGTCTCAAATACATATCAAAGGGGTCAGATCAAACTGTTTTTGCACACACACCCTGACTTTTTTCCCTTTCATTTAAATTAAATTTAAATTTGAACAAGGGAAAGACTCCTATACAAAAATTTAGGCGAAAGCCAGAAGATGGAGGTCACATCGACAAGATCATTGAGTAATATTGAAATGCATCGTTTTTTTTCCACAAATTATAGCATTGATTTAAAATCTATCATCATTTTCTTGCAAAAATATGTGATACGCAGCAAAACGCGGGTAGTTCGGCCAGTATATATATATATATATATATATATATATATATATATATATATATATATATATATAAATAAAATGATGACTTCTCCACAAGCTCAAGGGCTATGGCGACGCTGAACGAATATTTGGCTTAATCTAATCGTTCTTAACAAATCGTTTAATGAAGATTGTTTTCAATGACCCTCACCTAGATCATTTTATATTAATTCCCCACCCCGGGGGGGGGGGCTCTATCCTTGAACTTAGGTTCTTCTTATCTTCATCAACGACCTTCCCAATGTCATCAGTCCCCAAGTAAGTAGTCATGCTGATGACGCAACTATTTGCTCCTGTCTTAATAATAAGTACGATAGGTCGGACAAGTAAAACTGGCAGCTATTCTTGAAAATTACCTCAAATGAATTGTTAAATGGAGCAAAGAATGGCTAGTTAAATTTAACACCTCCAAATGGAAATTACTCTCTTTTAAACACCTTTTTAGCCTTCCATCAGTATGGATGATGTTAATCTTCAGAAGAGGAAATCATTGCAACTCCTGCTCTCACGTTTTCCGCTGACATGAAGTGGAAAGATTCTATTGAATCAATTGCTAGGTCTGCTGCTAGGAAAGTCGGTTCACTGTGTCTAATTTTTCTCGTCAGAATCTATCTTACATATTTATAAGTCTACAATTCGTCCGTGCATTGAATATTGCTGCCATATCTGGTCTGATGCTCCTGCTATATATCTTGAGATTCTCAACAAAACCCCAGAAGGGTCTGTAATGTAATCGGTCCTAACCTGGCATCTCGACTTCAGTCACTTTCCCATCGGTGTGACTTGGCTTCCCTCTGTCTTTTCTAGAAATATTTTCATTGCAATTGTTCTGATGAGCTTTTCTCGACCGCATGAATTTAAACGTTTTACTAGATTGGCAATTAGGTCTCATCGTTTTACTGAAATTAGATGCAACTCGTTGCCTGTGGAACTCACTTCCGGTTTTTTGCTTCCCTGCCATCTACAATCTTCAAAGTTTTAAATGCAACTTCGATCACAGTCTTCTGCTTTACTGAAAGTTTTCTCCTTACTAAAGTCTTTTCTTTCTCTTTCTTTCACAGTAAACACTTGCGTATTAATGGTATTATCGCCTTGTCGGAGCTGAAATAATTTTTTTAAAAAATCTATGTACGTAATTAGGGAGAGATCTCTGGCATACCTATACACATTATATGCATGCATGTATTTTGTGTGACGTATTGGGTTCATGGATGCGTATGTAAATTTTTACTATATTCTATTTGTTCATGTTATTTGTGTAATGCAGCGATGAAAAGATTGGTGACCTGAAATAAACACTAAATGTTTTTACTACGGCTGTTTTCACTCAACTCTGCAGCACTTGCTTGCTACGGCTTGTGAGTCAGCCGATCTAGCAACGCTGACTTGGCTATAAACAACACGTGTGTTTAGAGAAAGACACCAAATTCCTGCAGTGTATTTTTTTTCTGCAAGTTACCATTCATCGTTATTGAATTTACGGCTGGTGCTGTCCTTGGCCATCAAACCAAATCAGTGTTTATACTTTCTTTTGTGAGAATTAATGTTCTTTCAATTGTATACAGGGGCATTTGTTTTAGTGAATAGGCGTGTTTTCTATTATGCATTTTTTTATGTCATTGGTTACTTAATTTACTTGTTAGCTGAGGTAGTTGTGATTATCCCGCTGGCCTGATTTAATTGATTCGTTTTTTTTTGGTTTACCAAACTTTGCAGGTTATTTAAAGCCATAAAATCTTTTTAGATAATAATAGTTTAGTGATACAAGTTTTATTTAACTAATTAACCTATTTTTGGGTACAGAAGAGGTAGAGTCATATCTTCCCCCAGGGGTACCTGCGCGTAAGTGACTAATAATTTCTTTTAATAATGGTTTAGTGATACAAGTTTTACTAATTAACCCATAGCTGGGGAGGAGAAGAGAGGGATTCATACTTTTCCCTAGGGTATTTGCACATAAGTGAATATAACGAACCCAACAGGAATTGGAACTTGGTTCTCCGATTAACAATTCCGATCTATTAGATATTGCACCATCCGCACATCCAAGTTTATAGCACCTAGTATTCCCAAGCGGTCACCCATCTAGGTACTGAGCAGGCTCGACTTTGCTTAACTACGGTGATCGTATGGGAACCGGTGCTTAAATGT